ATGACTGTGCTATGCACGGTGACTGTGACATGTGCGATGACTGTGCTATGCACGGTGACTGTGACATGTGCGATGACTGTGCCATAAAGGATGACTGTGACAAATTGCGAAGACTGTGCCATACACTGTGACTTGAGGCAGCATGGTGGCACAGTCAAGTAAACAAATCTAGGATTCATGAACCCCACCCTTGACTGACACCCTTATACACAGAACAAACCAAATATTTGCAGACATGCACATTCCACTTGGTATGATATTGATGTCCATTATTACTTCACAGTTTATCCATTGATGACTCCATGATTTCCAAGGTAACTGACATGGGATTCAGTGTGGAGGTGGCACGCAAAGCACTCATAGTAACCAGAAATAACATTGACGAAGCTGTGAATTTACTACTTAATCAACCAGAAAGGTAAAAACAGTCATTCTCCATTGATCATCACTGTAGATTTGCAAAAAAAAAGTGTTTCTGTTTTTTTCAAAAAATGAGGGGATTTTTAATTTATTTTTTTTGCTAAAATAGTTTATGGCATTTTACATATGTATTCACTTTGTCAACAGAGGGCGCTGTTCAATGGCATTCTTATATGCCTTACATGTGTGATTGATTGAATTATTTACAAAGTTGATTAATTTTATCCGATCATTACCTGAGACACATGATTTAAACCATATTAAAAACTGCAAAATGGCTTTTTTCAAATAATTGTTTTCACATGAAATAAGGCATTTGTTATTTATTTTATATGTTGCAGTATAATTGATGTGCAGATTCCTCTTGAACAAAGTGGAAGTAAAAAATCGAAGACAAAGTTGTTTTCACGACAGAAATCGGTGCCAACAGGTGGTTTGCCCGATCCACCGATGATGATGAGCCACGACGGTATACACTTGTTACCCTCATTAACGCAAGTACGTATAGCAGAGAGATGCTGAATTGAGTTACAACGTCAAGTTACAAAAACATTTGAGTTATAGTTGCTTTTGAAAGAGTGTTATAATTTGCCATTTTAACAACTGTTTCTCTGAGATGGATTGCATGATTTCCTTCAAATTCAGTACAATGATTCTACA